GGTCCAAGGATGAGTTGCTGGAATTATCATGATCCCTGCTGGATTGAAGAGCGCTGTCCGAGACAGTGTCGGTGGATAGGCTCACTGATAACAGTTTGTTATTGGCAAGCCGTCTAACGTACTCCTGATGATCAATTTGTGTCTCGCCATTCTTGGTCGAAACTTCTGCCGTCTCCTGACTACGCTTAGCCTCCAGGGCTTCAATTTCTCGTTCCATTTTTACCAGTTCTGGCAGATCGCAGAGACCGAATCGGCTGGCGATTCGAGCAAGATCCATAAGCGTGAGGAGGACGTTTTTTTCCTCAGTCCGGTGAACTACAAAAGTAATGTAATTAAGTGCTTACTGTAATAGTAATTACTTCGTATTGATGACGGAACAAGTAGTTTATGAATATCGCTCGGCTGCAATGAACAGTGACCGGAGTAGAAATCGCCGTAATAATAAAATCGTAATCGAAAAGGGTCAAATTAATAGAAGTAATGCTCAAGTCGTGTAAGGTAATTGTGGGGTTGTAATCAGGGCTAGCAGCGCTTCTCTTAGAAAGAAGCGCGGATAAGATCCTTCCATGTTGTAAGGAAACTGAACAGTGGAAGACAGCTAGAGATCCGTAAACAAGTGCGATTTGTGAAAATAAATCATTTCTTCAAATTATGGTGAAAAGGCTCTTACAGGCTTGTTCCTTTCCAATTCTTTCAGTCAACTGTAGAGGAACTGTGAAAGACCACACTAACTTAAAGTAAATCCTTCGGAATGTGGATGTTGTACTTGTTTAAAAAAGCCCCTTAAGGTACTTAGTTTAGAAGAAGACGGTTTATCAACATGCAGAAACTGCATGTCTAAATTTTTGTTAGGTCCAGGAGAGCATTTAGCAAAGGTTCGGTAAGTCGAAATCGAAAACACCTAACTTAACCTCAGTGTACCGCTGGTAGCCGTAAACAGCACTGACAGAAGCTAGTGAATGCAAGGCTAATGGAGAATACACAGAACTTCCTTTTGGAGGACTTTGTGTTAGAGGACTTGCCTAATAGCCTCAGTAGCCTAATAAAAGAAGCAGACTAATATGTTAAAAACTCGTAGGGGGGTTTGATAGATTTAATAATTTATTTGACCTAATTGTGAAAAACTCGGCGGCCAGCAAGAAGAAAGCGGGAGATACCTTGAACCAACTCAAAACACCTGACAATGGTCTTACTCGCCAAAAATTGAGCACATGTATGAGGGTGTGCGCAATGAGACAGTTTGGAGGAACCAGTTACTCCTATTATTGTGGCTTTAGATTTGCACTTATATCTGGTTCT